CAGCAGAAAATGAATTTGCTCCATCTTCCACGTGACAGCCCTTGAGATATTTGAAGATGGCTATCATATCTCCTCTCAGTCTCCTCTTTATCAGGCTAAACATACCCAACTCCCTCAACGGTTCCCCATAAGGCTTGTCTTCCAGATCCTTGATTATTTTGGTTGAACTTCTCTACCCATATTCCAGCTTGTCAACATCCTTAAACTGTGGTCTCCAGAACTAGAAACAGGACTCTATGTGGGGTGTGACCAAGGGAGAGCAGAGTAGTGCTATTACTTATGTCCGTTGGCTGATGCATGGAGGGACAGGGAAGCCTTGCCTCCAGACTGCAGTATATCAAAGTGTAAGGGGTGCCATAGACTCTTGGCTGTGTACATTCTGCCTTTCATCCTATTATATATACCAGGGTTCTTTACACAAAACTTGATTATATCTTCTATGATTTCCAGAGTAATACTGTATTTTCTTTTAAGAAGGGACAGCTAACCTACCACCGCTACTGCATCAAACGATTTAATTTTTTTTAAATTAGGTACCTTATAATAAAATGATTTTTTAAAATAATAATAATAAAAATCTTCATTTTTGCCTAATAAGACCTTCCAAGGCGGCATTCTCCACATGTTGATTATGCATTGTGCCTAAAAGCCTAGTTCTGCAGTAGTCCTAATTTTTTTAAATTATAATTGCTCTGCTGGATAAATGCTTCCGAATGCTCCTAATTTCTGATGAAAAGTGCTCCGTTTGTGTCAGCTCAGTGGGGTGGTTCTGCAGTGCCAGAAATGCCCATTATGCGCAGGTGCTCACGCCACGCTCACTGCCGCAAGGACCACACACCTTCTCCAGTTATTCATCAGCAGGGAGACCAAGGGCTTTTGAGCGACATTTCTGCTTCTCTCAACCTTCAAAAAGAGGGGCAGGTCCAGCAACTCTTCTCCCCTCCCCCGCATCCCCCACCAAGGTCATTTCACATCCATTTTCTTTAATTTCATCAGGACCTCTTTTGTTTTCAGCAAATGGATGACATGGAGAAGGACACCGCACCTTTGTCACAGATCTTGTAAGTGATCATCCAGGAGAATATTTCAACTGATGTTGGAGGAAAAGAGCCTGATTAATAGGAACCCCGCAGGGATAAGGTTGGTGGGAGGCTGCATTTGAGGCAGTAGCTATGGCAGAGAACACCCCTGCAGAGAAAAGAAGGAAACTTTCCAGCCTGAAATGAATGGGGGAGGGAAAGGGGGAGATCTTCAAACAAATCCTTAATACAAGAAGATGCAAACCAGGACTCAGTCTTGTCACCTAACCGCATCCATTTCTCCCCTGCCAGTTTAGCTCAGTGTGTACCCCGAGGCCAACAGCTGCTGCCTCTTTCAGCAGATCCATCTCTCCCACATCGACAACCCAGCTCCCTGGAATCAAAACACACAGTGTGTGATTTAAAGATCCTTCAGCAGCCTCCAGGAATAAATGGCATACATGGTAAATAACCTGCAAAAGGATATTGCGGAACTACTGACCAAGGAGAAAGAACAAACAACTGGGGGGGGGACGGACGCAGCCATCAAAGTTTTAAGAAGCAGAAACAAGAATCCCATGAAGACAACAGCCAGAGATATCATGTGCAATAATCCCATGCAGACAAAAAGCACAGGGAAAACAACAACAACCCCGTAATACATATGCAATTGCAGATTTGTTTAAACAACTATCCTCCTTCATAGAATCATAACATGAAACACAGAGTAGCAGCATGAAGCACAACCTTGCAATCAATTAAAATATTCTAAGATGACAGGGTCTAAACAATAGCAATATCGAACGACACATCATATGAAACTCTTAAGTAACACTGCGTAGGAGCCTGCAAGAGCCCCCTGGGAGAGATTTCAGCAAGTGCTTGACAGCCCTCCTAAAACCAAGGGGGCCTTTGCAACTCAACTAACCACTTATTAACATAGAAACAATCCCAATCCAAGCAAGGAGACCCATGCCTCATGTATCACTTGCTGCAGGGGTCAGCAACCTTTTCCAGCTGTGGGCCGGTCCACCGTCCCTCAGACCATATGGTGGGCCAGACTATATTTGGGGGTGGGGGGAAATGAATGAATGGGGGTGAGGGGAAATGAAAGAATTCCTATGCCCCACAAATAACCCAGAGATGCATTTTAAATAAAAGCACACATTCTACTCATGTAAAAACACCAGGCAGGCCCCACAAATAACCTAGAGATGCATTTTAAATAAAAGGACACATTCTACTCATGTAAAAACACGCTGATTCCCGGACCGTCCGCGGGCCGGATTGAGAAGGCGATTGGGCCGTATCCGGCCCCCGGGCCTTAGGTTGGTGACCCCCTGACTTGCTGGATCAGAAACAGCAGGCAAAAAGCAGAGGGACATCATATTTACATCTGAATGTGGATGTTGTCCATCCACAATACTTCATGACTTTCCATGGGATGTGTGTTAAAAAGCCCATTTGGAATATACACCCCTAGGCACATTCTGACACAAGTAGGTCTGTATTTGGGTTGCCATACATCCGGAATTTCCCAGACATGGCCGCGATTCAGTTGTTGGCAACAGCATCTGGGCAGAAATTGCTGAAATGTCCAGAAAAATCTGGACATATGGCAGCCCATGCTGGAATTGTATGTCAACCCTAGCCTGTATAAATACAATTTTTACTTAAAATTATAGTTCTACTGGGGAGTGAACTCATGTGTTCAGGTTGTGGATATTCATTAATTGATAAATGTATTCAGATCCAATGGAAACTTTAACATTTTACAATACAGGTGAGGGACTTGCAACAAAATTTTGCTGCACATCCACGGTTACCACCTACGCCTTCCTTGGGGATTCTCAGTTTCACTACACTTCCCGTTTTCTGTTTCTCCCACTCCTAAAACATTTAGCATTCTGCAGCTACAGAGCATGCTCAGTGAGCTCTTTTTGCCTCTCACTCTTTAGTGGAGATATATATATATATATATATATATATATATATATACACACACATAATGTTTTGTTCTGCAAACCTGCAGTTTCCCTAAAGCCTGCTGGTATCTCCCCCTTGTTCATGGGCAGTACAGGTTGTAAGCAGCAACATTCACAGCCTGGACATGAAAGGGGATGAGTGGGGCTTGTAATGAAATGCTGAAATGTTGAGTGTTCCTGTTTAGTGCAGCCAGGCCCAATTCCAGAACACTCCATTCCACTGCCCTCCCACTCCTGGTTTTCCACACAACTGCCACCGCCACCAGCAGTTAGCTATGTGCTGTTTCTGCTAAGTAAGAACTGGGCCTCACCTTCCAACATAAGAAATAGAAAGATTATTGCTTAGTTTCAGAAAGCAGGCCAGGCCAGGGTATCACAGAATAAATGAAATATGATATGCAGGAAGTGTAAAAGTGTCTTCTGGAATAGGGAAAGGCAGAATGGCCCATGGAGTGAGGACGGGTCACTCTCTAGTGATCTGTGAAATACTGGGGGGTGGTTTGCTGGATTTTTGCCCCATCAGAGTGAGCGTACTTCCAGATGGGAGCTCAATCATATATCACAATGGCTCAATAACTACAGCTTTGTTGTTGTCTTTAATAATACGCATTGGAAGGGTCCCAGATCCTCAGTTTTCTGGTTTTCTGATTCTCTGCCATAGGTGGGCAAAGCTGAAGGTGGATACAACACAAAAAGAGGACTACTGATTATGGGAAGAATGAATGGGAAAATATGGAGTTTCAGGAGTCTCTCCTCAAGTAAAATCCGAGGCAAAAATCACAAATGGATCACCCAGCCATTAACCAAACTGAAAACTGGGCAATGACGTACAGACTTAAGGGAAAGTGTGGCTGGACCTTAAGGTAGACTGGAAAATGAAACACATGGATTAAAACATGATGAGGGAAAATTACCCACCATCTGATGCAAGCCTGGAAGGGAAGAATATCCCAGATCTATCTGCATTACTCCATGGAAGAAGAAAGCAGCCCTTAGTAAATAATGGAAGTAAGTCAGGACTGAAACCAAGACGAGTAAAGAAATCAATGCCACTAAAAGTAGAGCATTCTTACTAATAGCTAGGCTAAGTGTCTTCTGCTGTATCCAGTTCTCTAGTAGATGCTTTTTAAATAATCCGGTCATTGGATGAGACTTGACATGTAATTACTGGTTAAATGGCATTATCTTTCTCGCTGAATGCCAAGCCGTCCTAGTTCCTAGGATTAAAAATTGTCTTTTATAATGATCTAGCCTTGAGTTTGCTGTTTGGAGAGGACTTTGGCTAAAAGCAAGGCTTATACTGAAGCCTGCTGTCAAATGACTCTTATTGTGCGTAACAGGGGTGCAAGAACACGTAGCAGGGAGCAGACAATGGTGAATGGTGTATCCAGCCCAGTTCTTCCCCTTTTGAGGGACTCAGGTCATGAGCTGTTATAAAGCACAAGCCCATCTGCAAATTTCACTCAGAGAATGGGATGCATTGATGCATGCCTGCTGATAAATGCTGATAAAAAAAAGGTGGGCTAGGCTTCCTTTGTCTTCGTTAACGTTTGACTTCTTTGGATATCCTTCCTTTATTCAGTCACACATTAAAAGCAGATTCTACAAGAAGTGTGACTTCTAATGCTCAAATACACTGCAGATTAATTGCCTGAATTTTCCGCTCTGGGGTCTATCTTCGGCTCTTGTGAAAGTCGACCCATGTGCACCTCTGAAGAAATGTGTCTGCAACAGCCAGCATCCCAGTTCCAAGTGATGAATTCAGCAGCAGCAGGGAAGTATAGGAAGCTAAAACAACATTCTAAGGACTACATGTAGGGTTGAAACTATTTCCTGTAACACCTCACCGGGCCCCCCCCCACACAGATGCCAGAAGTCCCTTAAGTCCCTTGATAAAGTGAAATTGTATACTTTTGACTGGGAGAGTGGACATCTGACGGCAGCCCTGTTTAGGGAAGTTTTTAATATTTGATGTTTTATTCTTTTTTTTTTTAATCTGTTAGGAGCCACCCAGAGTGGCTGGGGAAACCCAGCTGGATGGGCGGGATTAATTAATTAATTAATTAATAATAATGGTCCTCACCAGGAACGTGCCATGGGTTGAAGGGCAGGTGAGCTGATTAATTTACTTACTGTCTTTAGGAGAATGGTAAATAAAAAAAGTTTAACATGGTAGGTACAGTATATTTACTGTGAACTGTAAAAGTCATACCTCAACACCATAAAAATATTGTCAGTGGGTTGAAGTGATTATACTAACTCCTGGGCAGCCAGTTTGATCATCTGATATATACATGCATGAGGATTAGCAACCATAATCACTGGTGCTTATTGTTATGTATTGAAGTTCTCACCCTGGGCCAGCAGGGGGATAGTGTAGATAGTTATGCAAATAAGGGATCGAAAGTGACGTTCAGTGACTGGATAGTTTTAGAAAGTTGTTACAGTTATCTTGTACTGGAGCTCTATATAAGCAGGCTGACTGAACCCTTCAGTTCAGTTCTGTCCTGGCCTGTGAATAAACAAGAGCTGTTTGAAGAATCGCTGTGTCGTCTGATATGTTCACCCACAACTTAACACTTATGGAACCATATACTGCTGGTACAGGAAGCCTACCTTGGGGACAGAGCAATAAGGTGCAGGATTAGACTGTGGGAACATCTGGGCTGGAACTTCTCCCACTTGTGCTTCATGCCCAAAGAGTAGTTCTAAAATGAAGGCACAACATTTTCTGGGCCATTCAAATGCAGGCATTCTATCTCAGGGTTTACAGATAGGTCTTGTGATTACTCCAATATGCCTTGCAGAAGGGCAAGAGACTAGATTGTATCCTTATCCTTATATATTATCATTAAATTTATATCCTGCCATTTCCTTCCAAAGGAACCCAGAGTGGCAGACGCACAAGGGATAAAACAATTAGAACATCTGAAAACAATTCCAATACAGATGCGGACTGGGAAAGACCTCTGCTTACTAAAGGCTTGCTGGAAGAGGCAGAATTTAAGTATGTGCCAAAAATACAACTGATACAGTGCTTGTCTAATGTTTGATGGGTAATTGCAAATGGTATGTGTCTCAACACTGAAAGCCCGATTCCTTTTTTGTGTGGACCACCCAATAAAATGTATTTGAAGGATGCCCTCTCCTGCAGAACACAGTGTATGCAAGTGGTGAGACAACCTTTCAGTTATCCCATTCCCAAGCTGTATAGGTTGTTATACATCAGAAACAGAACACTGAACTTAGTCCAGTAGCTAACTGGCAGCGAGTTAAATTCTTTTAGCAGTGGCGTAACATGGCCATGGACCAACTTCTGGAGCAACTTCAAGGGCAGCTCCACACAGAGCGCATTGCAGTAATCCAGCCCATGGAAGACAGTGGATGTGCTCTTACGATACTCCAGACACACTGGAATAAAAGACCTATTCTAATTCCCAGTTAGAAATCAAGAGAAGTGAAGAACATCAAGCTGTTCTTCTGGATGCTATTTCGTGTTTCTTACTGTTCAACCTTTTCCCCTACTACATTTTCAAAAAAATTCCCATGAATCCGCAAAGCGTTATAAACTTATGTCATTTCCCTTGAGTAAAGGACCCATCTGCTTTCCTTATTCTCCTCCACCCCCCACTGTAAAGCAACATGAGTTTTATTGACACAATATAAATACTAACAAGAGTGTTTTCAAACACGAACCTTACACTGATTTGTGCTTAAATCAATCTATAATGTGAATGTTAACCTTGCAATGGGCTAAAACGTACCTGCGCTGCCACTTCCACATTCTATCCCGCGTGGCACAAAAACTGCAACAGAGGCTCAAACGTGCTGTTTAGAGGCGCATGCGAAAATGTTCAAAGCAATCTCTCCCCAAGGTCCCTAAACCTAAGGGACAGAAGTAATATCTTCTGTCTAGTTAATGGACAACCTTCTTCATATTAAATGTATTCTATGCAAATCAACGTTGTGCATTGGGATTCAAATGTCAGACCAATAAGTTCATAGTAAAGGTTAAGGAAAGGAATGATTAATTAGTGTGGGGTTCCCCCCCTTTTGGATTTTTTCTTCCCTGTCAATAAGAAATAGTGTGTGAGATGCCCAGACAACGCCTGCACACCATATTCCTAGCTCCCTATCACTGAAGTTGAGGTGCAAGTTGATTTTGGCTGCTTTAATTTATTGTTTTAGAATCAAGATTCTGCAGGCAATCTTCTCTTGCCTGTTACCATCTACATTTCCCACAGCTATTTGTGTCTCCCCCGCTTGCCCAGCTTTTGAAACTAATTGGGCCAAACTCCAGATATCTACATATGCGTCTGTGTGTTTTCTTCTTTTGAATTATAATGGGAACTTCAGCATTCCATATTCTGCAAATCACGACAGAAGAAAGGTCGCTGGCTTTTGGGAAAGTTGCACGTTTGTATTAGAGGTTAACCTATGTTGTATTGCTGTGCTCTCGCTCTCTCTCTTTTTAAAGGCAAAGGGGTTACATTATGTTATAGTGGGAAACTGAACCCAGATCTTTAGCATCACAAAGCCGGGACCCTGGAGGCAGGCTTTAGTTGTGCAGACAGCTAAAAGTGGTGTGAGGTGGACATCATTACCCATGCTGAACACACTTGATTCTTTTGTTCCACTGTTTTCTCTGTTCAAAAAGATTTTGTATGTTTTTGAAGCACTGCAAAATATTGTTTAGCTGAGAAGATCAAGGAGGGAATATATAGCAACACCAGTGGCAACAATGCCTGTTTCATACCACTTTCAACTCTCTGGAGGGCGGCAAAAAGACTCAACGCTGAAATGCTCCGCTTGCTTCCTGCAATCAGATGTTTTCATTCCTTGAACTGGAATTTGTTGGTCCAGAGGTGCATCTGCATAAAGCCTTTCTGATGACCAGGCGCCCTGATCTTTGCAAGCCACACATAATTTGAACTGAGCCCACATATGCCCAGCAGACAGTGGCAAAAATATGCACATATTGTCATGTTCAGGTGATAGTCTCTGAAGCCACTTTATATATTTTTTGAAAATAATAATAATAAATTGACAGCATCTCCCACAATTCCTGCTTGGTGCTAGAGAACCAAAAGATGATGCCCAAAACCTAATTGTTATGTGCCATCATGTCTGAAGACCTGTTCTATGCAGCACAGAATAACAATTGGCCTGTCTAAATATTAGTCCATATTCTCCTATACTGTATGTTTTATAAGGATGGAAGACCCCAATTTACAGCCCCAGTACTTTCTCTACACTTGGTGAACTTGGATGAATTCCTTGATTCAGTTTTAATGGAAAACTGCAAACTCTGAGATTTCAAGAAAATATAGCCAAATTCCTCACTTGTAGCCATCAAAACTAGGCCATAGTTATTAAAGTGACAATGAGTTATCAGAGTCAATATTGTGTGTATTTTTAAAAACTGTTTCGATTGTTCTTGTGTTCCGTTGCACTCTTATTTTAAAAGGCACAATATCTGTGCATGGATATTATTCTGCTGTGCTTTGGTTTTTGATAACCCAATACTGTATTTATTGTCTGTAGACCGCATAAACTCAAATTGACTGATGGCTGATTGATAATGTAGGGTGGCACGTTGATTCAATCACTTTGCAGCTGACCTCTGGATCTGCAGTAGTACAGGAATTGCATTAGGGCCAAGATATTTCTTTCTCCCTCCCCACTTTCTTCTTCAGCTTCTAATACAAACAACCTGTATTGGGCTAGCTGGTGGAAGAAGGGTGGAAGAAGATGCCCAGCGCAATGATGTTATATCTCATATCACTCAGGTGTTGTTAGATGTCACAAGGAGGAATAGATAGTAACAACAAGAGACTGGTGGTAGCACTGTCTCTCTAATAATACCTACTCGGTCCTTTGCAGCAGCAAAGTAACCTATACCTTGAATGGATATGCCACTTAAATTTGGGTATCTCCATGGATACCAAATCTCCATGGGTTGCAAATATACTGTGTAGTGGAAGATTATAACAGATTGCTGAAAGGACTTTGCAAAGTCACATCCTTTTTCTGTTCCTACATTCATCTTTGGCTCTTCAGACATGTAAAACAGAACGTGAACATTTCCTAAATCAGTTGCAATGGTCAAGTTAGAATTATTATTAATCCCTAAAATTAATTGAAGCCATATTTAATCCTATGTTTGGCAGGGGTATTAAAATGTAAAGATATTGACCAGAAACTCTCAAAGTAATCAAAAATAATGAAATATAGGTGTAGTTTATTGTTAATTTAGCGGTCAGGCATTTGAATAAAATGGTATACTTTGGGGAAAATGTTGAGCAGCAATATAAGCACAGCAAGGTCACTCACATGTATTCTATCAAGTAGCTTTGGTAGGAAACAAATAACAGAAAAGTTGTTGGAAGTCACCAGGGCAGGGAAGGGAGAAAACCACCCACAGATTTGCTAGTACACTTGGAACAAATTTATTCCTTTTCTCCACTAAAACTCCTATAAGCAAACATATTTTTTTTAAAAATCAATATGAGAAAATGCCACAAATATGAGCTTAAAGAAACAAGCATGTTCTCTTGCAGCAAAAGCCAAAATGTTCAGGATTCAGTATGGCAGGCATGTCACTCCACAGTTAATAAACTGGAACATTCTGCCCTTGTCCCACATTGCATGAAATATTTACAATTCCAGTTTGTCTGAGCTGGTAAGCAGAAGAGCAACCTAACTCTCTGGTGTGTAACCCATCCAGCTGCAACTTCCATCCGATAGCAGCTTGTGCTGCACATTGCCCTATGCACATACATTGCTTTCCCCTGCATTATTAAACATCAAAATCCTTCCACACCATCTGAGACATTACAGCCACACATGAAGAGCATCTGCAGTGGGACACAACCAATGGCCCATCCAGACTGATAGCTTCTCTCTAACATTGGCCAGGACTGGGTGTGACATTTAAGGTGCACCCTGGCAGGGCGCTAAGGGATGACTCCAATATTTGCAAAACAATTGCCATTTTTTTCCCAGTAGTCTAGCATTTAGGGATATTTTGGGCAAAATGTTGAGGAAATCAGCACCAGCCTCTATGTGTGTATGAGGCATGCACACTGAATCATTCAGCCAAATATTTGGATATTATTTTAGTAGGTCCCTAGTGGTTTCCCTGCTTTACGAATCTTCAAGAGGCAGCAGGATAACCAGCCTATTCCACACCTCTGAGTTATTCAGGTCAGAGATAGCAATTCATATTGCACTAGATTCTTAGTAGAAGAAGCCTGTTCGCAGAAGGTGTTTTAACACCCACACACACACCCACACACCCACACCCACCCTTCCACCTTGTGCATTGAAAGTTCTAACGAAAAATATAGTATTCTGGAACTTACTATTGTTAGTTTTCTGCCACCAAGTATAAGGGTATTTCTGCTCTTAAGCAGAACTTTTACAGAAATATTTCTAAATATACTCTGGGTGCGGGTCTACCACTACCTTTGCAATGTCTGTGGCTTGTTTCTATCCTCATCTGGTATCATTTCTAGATGGGTGATGTTACTTGGTGTTATTACTGATTTTGCAGAAATACACCAGTTTCAAGCATTTGCACAGAGAAGGTTTTGTGGGGTTTTTTCCTTTTCCTTTTCCTTTTTTTTTGTAAATTTGATAAAGTAAATAAAGGCAGGTTGGAAAAGAAACCAAGCAATCAACGGGATTCTGACTCGTACGCTCCATAGTGATAGGAATTTGCTGAACTGGAATTTAAGAACCGTGACACACAGTTTCTTGCTCCTGTCTGTTTAGCAGATAAGAACATAAGAAGGGGCTGCTGGATCAGGCCAATGGCCTATCTAGTCAAGCATCCTGTTCTCATGGTGGCCAAGCAGATATCTGTGGGAAACCTGCAAGCAGGATTTGAGCACAAAAGCACTCTCCCCTCCTGTGGTTTCCAGAAACTAATATTCAGAAGAATTACTGCCTCCAACTGGGGAGGCAGAACACAGCTATTATGGCCACCAGCCATTGATGAAGAAGAGTTTGGATTTGATATCCCGCTTTATCACTACCCGAAGGAGTCTCAAAGCACCTAACATTCTCCTTTCCCTTCCTCCCCCACAACAAACACTCTGTGAGGTGAGTGGGGCTGAGAGACTTCAAAGAAGTGTGACTGGCCCAAGGTCACCCAGCAGCTGCATGTGGAGGAGCGGAGACGCGAACCCGGTTCACCAGATTATGAGTCCACCGCTCTTAACCACTACACCACACTGGCTCTCCTGATAGCCCTCTCCTCCATGAATTTGTCTAATCCTCTTTTAAAGCCATCCAGGTCGGTGGCCATCATTGTCTCATGTGGAAGCAAGTTCCATAGTTCAACTATGCGCTGCATGAAGAAGTGCCTTCGTTTCCTGTCCTAAATCTTCCAACATTCAACTTCACTGGATGTCCATGAGTTCTACAGAGTTATGAGAGAGGGAGAAGATAACACTTCTGTCCTGAAACATTCCATATTTTCAGCCCTGCGGCTTTATGAATAAAGACAATGAGTGTGCAACTGCCAGTGATAAAAAGAAAGTGTTTGCAGTTCACATCTATAGATCCACCCACCAATGAAGTTGTAAAACCAGAGTTTGGATCTTGTTCTCACATTAAATTGTGTCTTATTTGTTTTCACTTCTATGGCTACTTAAAAGCACAGAGACACTTACCCCAAATCCATCTTTGGATTTCTCAAAGTACTAAATCATTTTCACCATTAGAATAAAAACTGAGTTTGCTTTGGTATTTGAAACTGTAGAATGGATTTTCCCAACCTGGTGTCTTCCAGATATTTTAGGCAGCTCTCCTAAGTCCCAGATAACATGGCTGTACTGACTAGGGCTGCCAGGAGTTTTAGCCCAAAATATCTGGAAGCCAGCAGGTTGGGGAAAGCTTTGTTTCTAGCTGGCCCAAAGATATACGACTTAGTTCAGAGATATGCAAGGTCTCATCTACTTCAGTTGTTCACAATCCTTATCTTCAAGGAGCGCTATCTGGCTGATGATTGGAAATGGTGGGCAAATTGTCTCTGAGGGTGCCTTGCCTGCTATTGTTGATTTTCTGATTCCTCAATCAATACAAACCCAAGATTGCAGTCTGTATTCAAACATATTTGGAAGTAATCTCCACAGTGGGACTTATGAGTGAACATGCACAGAACTGTTCTGCAGAATTCTAAGAACACAAAACAACTGATCTCCTTTAACATGGTTGTCTGATCATAGATAGCGGACTAAATTTTGAGCAGCAACTACCTCTGAAAGACTTTTTCCTCTTACCCGGAAACATCTATGATCAGAACTAACGAATGCATCAGTTTTTATTCTAGATATTTACTTCCTGCAAACACTTTTATCCAGTATTTGATTCATGGGATCATAAAACAAGAACCACTAAGCATGCTGACTATGTGCTTATTTATTGCCTTTAAATGACACTGAAGTTAATATACATATTTGCCAAGATGGCTAAATAAATACTGTACTTTTTAATGACAACCAGTGTTTCTGAGAGGCTGCTGAGTGTTCAAACAACAATGGTGAGCTGAGAAATGCTCGACCTTTCCTACAGTGAAAGTCAGGAAAGGTCCATTAATCAATAAACATTTTACTAATGGACAAGCCTTATGTGCTAAATACTTTCAGAGGATATTTCAATCAATTTCTCCTTGGATTTTATTCCTTGCAAATTCATGACTTGTTTTCCTTCCCCCTCCCATCTTGCTGCCACTGTGCACATGGCACAATAAAACTCGCCGCTGTAAAGAAATGCAACCCTAAAGGCTGGCTGTGTAAAACCTTGCATTACACCTTAAGAGGAAAAGACCACAGGAAAGAAACAGACGTAATTCTCCTGAATCTTGTACTGATTAAGCTTTGTCAAGATTAATCTCTAAGCCTTTACTTTCAGAAGATCATCATTCTAAGAAATGACAGCATGTTGAACTTTTTCATTAACCGCACTAGAGTGAAAAAGAAGACCTGATTTTCTAATAGCATAATAGTTTTTTCTGAAGGGGACTGCAATGTGAATTCCAGTAATATGGGCAGGTCTGGCCCTACTGTTAGGCAAAATGAGGTGACTGCCTCAGGCAGTGGATGGGGGGAGGCACACGGTGGTGGTGGATGTGTGGGAGGACAGAGCTATGGGTGTGCCTTGTGACCTGCCCTTTAGCCCCGCCCCTGCCCTCAGAAGTGGTGAGCAATGCTGCCTCATCACTAATGTTGAAGTAGGATTCAACTGCTACTCCAGTTGGCTTCTACAGTGGTACCTCGGGTTACATACGCTTCAGGTTACAGACTCCACTAACCCAGAAATAGTACCTCAGGTTAAGAACTTTGCGTCAGGATGAGAACAGAAATTGCTGGATGTTGCCTGTTATTGAGGTAGCTTGCTAATATATAAATATATTTAATTTGAATTGATAATTATAAACAAACCTTGGCTTTTTATTTTACTAATAAATCACCATCTGATATTCAGAAAAAGTACTCCTATCTACTATTAGCAGTTTTCTTTATCCGATAAATGTTTTGTTAGCATTTTTATCAATTAAATACATAGTTTTCATATGAATAAACAGTGATTCTGAAGCAAAATATTATTGGAAGAGATGAGAGATAGTTACAAGTGAGGGATTATGCAAAATTAAAGCTATGCTATGGGCTGTGTGTAACAAGCACAGCATGCATTCACAGTCAACTCTACATTCATTATGGTATCTCTGCAGAACTATATAAACAATAAATCATCTGATAAACTGCATATTCCCTTTCGTCATGTAATGCAATGGAATAACTCTAGGCATGCAGGCTGAGCTTGTGGTGAGGAAGCTCAGTCGAGTCCTATCTTGGTGAGTTCACATGGTGAAAGAGAACAAAGGAGGAAACTTACGTTCATTCCTTCCAGGAGGTGAGGGGCTGTGACT